CGAATTTTAGAATTTTGAAATATACGATTTCTTGATTATACATATTCAATCTCAATTTTTAGAAATAAGAATTTTATTCTATATTTTTTATTTATTTTTATATGTAGAATATCTATCTATTAAAAAAAGTTCATTCGTATTGTATATTATATTTGAAAAAATTTTAAATTTGATTTATTCCATGATGAAGCCAAATAAAAAAATTTTATTCTATATTTTCAATTTATTTTTTCATATAAAATTAGTCTTCATCTTTTCCACGTATTCATTTTATAATATTTAAAATAATACATATTTTATTTTAAATATTTTTTATATATTTTATATATTTTTTTATATTTTTGAACATTTAAATTTGTATATTTTGTATATTTTTATATATTTTTATATATTTTTGAACATTTAAATTTTCTATAAATTCATAAAAATTGGTAATCTACTGATAATCATCTCGAATTATGACGAAATTTTATTACACAAACATTAGCCTTGAATAAAATGGTAACCTTAACATAAATGATTTCTAATTAGATCTTGAATTTTCTAATTATATTTTATCGTATTATAAATTACGAATAAATAATAAATTTTCTGGTTAAATAATCGATCTGTAATTCAAATTTATTAATCATCTCGCAAAAATTATCTTCTACAATGAGTAAACGAAATTTTATGATCATGAATCAGATCAAATTACTAATATTTCTTCTGATATCATAGTTGTAACATTTTTTTTATCTTCAAGTACTTTTAATTATCACTGACACAATTAACTGATAAAGAAATAGAGAAAAAAATATTAGATTGTTGCAAATGAAATGGCCAAATTCTTAATGTTTATTAATGTTTACAATTTTATTGGGAATAATATTAATCAAAATGATTTCAATAAATTCAATAAATCAATAAGCAAGGATAAAAAATATTATAATCAATTGATTTTTTTGGTTGTTTTTATAATTATATTTGTCAATTTTAATTTTTGTAATATCATGGAAGATAATTTCTTTTTTTAATTTTTTTTGAAAATTTTATTAACGAGTTAATAATAATTTTTTTATTTGTAATTTTAACTTTTATAATTTTAAATTTGTATAAGAAATCAATCGAGTTTCATGCTAAACTATAATTCATGAGAACAATTTATTTTTCTATAATAAAAATATATAACAAACATTCAATGATTTAGTTACATTTTTGAATGATTTTATTGATTTATTAACTAAATTAACCATTTCATCTACAAAAATTTAATTTTTACGATACTTTTATCAATACATTTGAATCTTAAAAAAATTATCTTTATGTTACAATTATTGTCAATTTAATCAATTTATAGTATCAATAACTTAGTATAACAAATAAATTTAAATATCGAATATTTTTGATTAAACATGAATTATACAAATACAGTCCCTTATAAAAATTTAAGTTAAAAATTTAAATTTTATTAAAATTTTGCAACATTTTTTAATAAGAAATTAATGCATTCTACATTTTGACAACGATTAAGATTTTATTATTACATATTTTAAAAAAATAAATATTATGAAATGAAATGAAATAATATGAGATTATGAATAATATGAAAAATAACATGAAATTAATAAAAAAATGTTTTTTGAAACAATAGGATGTAAAACAATTTTTATGGGACTGTACATTTTTTTTTTAAAATATGTGTAAACATTTACAAGATTTAAAAGATGATTTTTCTGCGTGAGATACTCGAATATACGATATTTATGATACGAGTCAGAAAACATTGAATATTGAAAGTTTTATATATTTTTTTCGTTAAATAATTTAATAGATTGAAAAAAAAAGAATATCTGTCATAATAGTTAAAACGAATATACTGTTTTGAATATTGTGAAATACTATATTATATTACACTATTTTAGCGTAAGATTGTAAAAAGAATTAATAAATAAATATAAAAGATAAAATTACATTAAAATATTAAAAAAAACTATAATCAATACAATAAATAATTAATTCTATAAAAATTTAACATATTTATATTAAAGAATCTTTTTTATTATATTACAAATAATATAATTCTACAATTTGATAAAGTTAAAAATAACAGTTAATTGTCACTATTTCATTAGGATGATGGTAACAATTTTTTATATTTTTTACAATACTAAAAGCAACTATATATTTTTATTCACTAACTTTCCGGTTTCTGTTTCTACGTCAAGGACCACAGGTTACGAATTACGCCACTATTCCAATGATCATATATAAGATCACGCTTATGGATATTTTCTGTGATTTTTTTTCTTTTTCAAGTTCGTGTGGATGATTCTCAGGAAAAATGCGAATATTCGTGCGTGGTCGAAGATTAGAAAGTAAGGTTAAGTGTTCTTGAAAAAGAGCTGAAAAATAAATTATTTAATATTAATAATAATATTAATAATAATATTAAAAATAAAATTAATGTAAAAAAATTATTGTATGATACATGAATAATTACTGTGCTCCATAAAATTAATATAATATAGTCTCCATAATAATTTTAAATTTTTTGTGAAAAAGCCATTTAACATTATGCTTTTAAATAATAAAAATTTTAGAGAAACTTATGAATTTATATTAGTTTTTATTTTTTTTATCTGAATTTTGTAACAATAAAATTCAATTATATCAATAAATGACATAATATTACATTGTGATAATTATGTACTATAAATTTTATTTTTAATTTATATTTAATTACAAATACATATAATATAATATTCACATTAAGTGTAATAAAATTCTTTCTGTTCACAATTTATGCAAATAAGATTGCATAATAGGCTTTATAATATTGATAGGTTTATTGATAGCTATTAAAATGGTAAATGTAAATTAAAATTTACAAAATATTTGATATATATAATATTTAATATTATATTTTATAAAATATAAGTTTATAAACTTTTTACTTTAAAAAATTCAATTAAAATTCAATAACGTTTTATCGTTATAAAAATTAAATTTTTATAAAGACATAATAATAGAATTACATTACATACAAAAGTATAGACATAATATATTAAATATGCTGGCTTTTGTATAAAATTAAAGATAGATGTATCATTTATTTTTAAAAACAGAGAAATGAATATTAAAGATAAAGCAAGAAATATAACATTTATCTTGTCTTTTGGTAATAAAATTTAAATAGATATGTTACTTGTTTCTAGAAATGAAGATAATTATAATAAAATATTTATTGATTACAAAATTTATATTTTTTTTTTTATTATATTATTCAAGCTTGTCAAATATTAAGAAGATTATCATACTAAATGGCAAATCCAAATTCCATATAATAATCCAAACAAAGAGAAATAATCTTATTTTAAAAAAATATAAATAAAAATGAATTATATTCAACGTATTGATAATTTAATTTAAAAATCAGAATCTTAAGTAAAACAAAGAATTAAAACACTTGCACGATTTAATAATTTTCTTATTTTAAAAATTATTTTTATTTTGTAATATCTTTAGAATTTATATATATATATTTTTTTTTACAGTTTTATATATATTCCAATTTTTGATTATAAATTCATATCAATTTTAATTTAAATTCGAAAATACACCACAATAACATTTATCAATGACAATCATTTAAATTCGAATACTCGATAATTCCCTTAATAAGTTATCAATATTTCCGTCAAGAGTTTAAAACTGAAATTGATAAAAAATTGAAATTGATAAAAATCAGTTGTACAGAAAATGTAAAAAAAAAAAAAAAAATGATGAGAATTCTCTTTCATTCAAATTCAAAGAATCAAGCTGCAATTCGCATATACACTTTACACACACCAATTGAATTTGGCAGTTTATGTATTGCGAACATCTTCGAGATTAAAAGTTTCCCGTGTTACAAATTCTTATGCGTTACGTGCTTTAAAATATCGGAACATTACGTTCTCGGATTTCTTATATAATGTTACGCAAGTACGCAAATGTACCGGATTTTACACCTGCGGGATGACATTTGCCCGTAAACGAAGATGCGTGTCGAAGAATTTACGAGATCAAATTGATTTTATAACAACTTTTAATTTATAAATTGATTTCACTCTCGCCGATTAATCATAATAATAACACGTTTGACATAAGGAAAAGAGAATGTTAAAAAATATATATATATACATATATGGTTATAATTTGGGTAACTCTTGACAATTAAAATATCGATGAGGTAATTAATTGTAAAAGGTACAATTATAATCATTTTAAATAGAAAAATTGATATTTGTATTATTTGCATTTTTATATTTTAAAAAAATTATAATAAAAATATTAAGTAACACTAGTTGGAAATAAAAATAATTTGTATTATAATTTATTTATATATATAATCTTTCATACATATAATCGTTTTTTATGGATGTTCATTAATATTTTTATCACTTCTTTTTTACGTACAACATAAATTTTGATTCTTATCTATGAAATAGTATCTTTCTTTTTTCATATATTTGTATTTCATATGTTTGTTTTAAAATTATGACCATTTCAAATAAATGATTCCTAATTATACACTTTCTACATTATTCATTCTTTTTAACAACTTTTTCATCACATTAATAAATAATTATTAATATTTCTCTGGAACTACAATTTATATAACAATTTATATAATAAAATTTAATTATTACAATTCCTTGGAATTTATAACGAATAATGATTTATTTTACATGTCAAAAATTACTCAAATTTTGATCATTTTTTAACATTTTCCTCTCACTCGTCTGATGTGAAATTCGATTTAAAATTTCATTCAGAATATATCGAGGATTCACCTTTCCTTATCGACCTTTCGAAATTAATATATCGAGATATTTGTCATCGTCTATTATGCATATCCTAAGCAAAAAGACATTGAAAAAATGCAAAGGATAGAAGATGTATCTCACAACTTTCGAGCACTTTGTCATTCCATATGTCTGGATCATCCGCAAAATTTGAAGGTGTCCTGTTCACAGAGTGGGAGATAAAGGGATGGAGGGGGATTAAATAAGGCAACAGCTTGGCAGAAATTCACCGAATGTTCGGCTGATGGATATATAAAGGGATCCTGTGCCCCATCTTGCAAGTCAGTGTAGCGAGGACCTCTTGCGGAAGAATTACAATTCTTTTTTCAGATTTTGTAGATAAAGAATCAAGATGAACAAGCTGGTGAGTTAACAGTGTCGGTGTATGGTGTTCGATATATTTTTCAATGGATATATGGGAATTTAAGAATTTAAGAATCGATATTATATCGTAACACGACATATTATAAGATATAATATAAGATGATTGTGTAATATAAGATATTGATTCAAATCAAAAAATATTAAAGAAATAATAATCGTATAAAGTGAAAAATTTAAAATTATATAATTATTTTTAATTTATTTAGTTTTATAAACTTATTGATTTATTTTATGAGGAAGTAGTAATCAGTAATTTAGTTAGAATTTCTTCATCCAAAATTGTCTATAAATAATAAAAAAATTTATTGAAAAATTATATTATTGCATAAAAATTTATTAAAATTATGAAATGAATGAAAGTAATTTTTTGGTTTGCTAAAATCATAAACATAAACTTGTTGATAAAACTTATGCTTTAACAAGTCAAATAATATTATTTAAGATAATTTTTATTTATAAAAAAATTATGAATAGCAAAAAAAAATTTTAATCTTTATATTTGTTTCTATTTTAATATAAAATATTTATTTTTGAAATTTTTCACTCAGAATTTTATTAATCTTATAAATATAAAAATATTTGATTTTTATTATATTTAAGTATTAGTTTATTATATTTAAATATTGTGGAAAGAAAAATAATATTTTTGTTCTTTATTCAAGGAAATATATAATAAAATTTATTTTTCAAAGAAACCTATAAATAATAATTAATTTTTTATGATTTAAAAAAGATATATATAATCTATGAATTGTATTCATACTTAAAATTATACTTTGATATTATT